TTAGTAAAGACAAGAAGTTTTTTTTTATTCTCTAATCAAATTACAAACAATATATATTTACAGTGTCAAAATGGGATACATGCATCTATTTCTGAAAAAAAAGAATTTAAATTCATAGCCATTGAATCATTGTCAAAAGGATTTTGTGTACTTTCTTAATTTTAATAATGGCATAACATTATACATTGTTATAAGGAATCAACTGATTATCTATTCTAAGCTAAAATTCCAACTCTTATTGAAAATTAGGATTTAAGGAATTTTAATACAAATAAGCTTACCACTTTAACTTTAACTTAAGACTCATTTCTTATTCTAAATATATTTTCTTATTTCAAATCTATTTTCTTATTTTAATATAAAAGGTCTTGAATTATTGACAAGCACATAAATCCATTTGTTTCAAAACCTAGATATAAAGTAACATTTGGTAGGGGATCTGCTTGATGATAATGCAGCTAGAGACAATAAATAGAAATAAGGAAGTACACCACTAATTCATGGCCCCATTGCTTTCTATGTTAAATTCCTCAATTTCAAGCAGGCATAGCTCTTTTGTTTTAAGTTCAAATAAAGTGACAATCATTGCATGTCAAAGCAACACTTTATGGTGTCTTGTACTGAAAAAATCAACATACCTTTAGCATGTTTAGTGGCATATAAGAAAGAACTGGTTCCCGGAACTTTGGATGTACCAAAACAGGTACTTCAGATCTGACAAACAGGCAAAATGTACCCTCTTTTTAAAATTTGGTGCAGTTTTTTTAATATAGAAAAATTATAAGTCAAAAAGTGTTCTACAATGATCAAAAGTCATTCAGCTTTCATTTGATACCAAAAGTACCTTAATATTCTACATATTTTGAAAGTTACACTCATGCGTAGGAACTATTTTGTGTTAAATATGTACTACTTTCTGGTATGTGCTTTCTGGCCTGGCCCGAATTAGTGGTGTTACACCATAAGGGATTTGATAAACTCTGAAGTCTTATCAATACATTCTATTTTATCTGTACTATGAAGTGCTGAATACATACATATTTTCATTTGAAATAGTTTATATTTCATCAAACTATTTTACTAAAGTAATTGAAATGTAATCGAAAAGTAATCAATGATTACATCATAAATTTTGCTGTAATCGATTAAATTACGATTACATGTAATCGAAAAAATCTTTGATTACAGATTTCTGTCGATTACTGGAAAAAATGTAATCAATTACAATCGATAACGATTACAGATTACGATTACCCCATCCCTGACTCAAGCTATTAATAGCCTAATTGACCTGGTAGATCTTATGAACCTGTCAGTGATATTTACCTACTCATGTATTAAAGGCTAAGCCTACAAATACAAAATCCAAACAATTTGACAGTGGTAATAATGACACCTTCTTTACCTAAATAAATTTTTATTTGTCTGGATAATTTCATATTGAAGTTTGATTTTATGTACGTAATGTTCAACCTTTATTGTAGCATGTATCTTTTTTTTTTTTTTTTTTTTTTTGGTGCTATTTTGTAATTTCGTCCAACCAGAGTAAATATTTGTGACATGCATACCATTACCATAGTTTAGCGTCCTTAGGTCACAAACTGAAATTATAACTGACTACGTCAGAAAAAAAGTCTTACTTTTTTTCTTGAATTTCTCTTGACTAAAATTGACATCGTACATTTCTCTTATAGAGTGTTTATTTCTCTGTCATTAATAGTTGTGTTAACCATGTTAACTATTCATAAAAGTAGACAGGTTTTTCCCATTATCTGCATTTAAGTTTGTGACGCGACTCCTAGGCGTCGTCGTAGTAGCGGTCGCCATTACAACCGTGAAAAAAATATAAGCAAGATATACATCTATTTCCCAGACTGCATATAATTTATGTAAACACAATAAGGTGAAGGCATACTTGACCTCGGAAAAATTATGAATGCTATAAATAATAAAGTAATTAGATAAGGAATGGACATTAAAATTATAAGTGTATTGCAGGCCTGGTGTCTTGTCCTTAAAATATAACTGTATTTGATATGTTACACCCGGGACATATACATTGGACATGTACACCTTACAGTCCTTCCATACACCGAATAAACTAGACCTATTGCTTATAGTATCTGAGATATGGACTTGACCACGAAAACTTAACCTTGTTCACTGATCCATGAAATGAGGTAGAGGTCAAGTGAAAACTGTCTGACTGGCATGAGGACCTTGCAAGGTACGCACATACCAAATAGAGTTATCCTATTACTTATAATAAGAGAGAATTTAACATTACAAAAAATCTTAACTTTTTTTTCAAGTAGTCATTGAACCATGAAAATGAGGTCAAGGACATTGGACAATGAGGCATCCATATACAAAGTATGAAGCATCCAGATCTTCCACCTTCTAAAATATAAAGCTTTTAAGAAGTAAGCTTACGCTGCCGGATCACTATCCCTATGTCGAGCTTTCTGCGACAAAAGTCGCAGGCTCGACAAAAACAGTTCTTTTTTTAGCTCACCTGACCTGAAAAGTCAAGTGAGCTTTTCTCATCACTTTGGGTCCGTCGTCCGTCGTCCTGCGTCCGTCGTCCGTCGTCCGTAAACTTTTACAAAAATCTTCTCCTCTGAAACAACTGGGCCAAATTTGACCAAACTTGGCCACAATCATCATTGGGGTATCTAGTTTAAAAAATGTGTCCGATGACCCCGCCAACCAACCAAGATGGCCACCATGGCTAAAAATAGAACATAGGGGTAAAATGTAGCTTTTGGCTTATATCTCTGAAACCAAAGCATTTAGAGCAAATCTGACTGGGGTAAAATTGTTTATCAGGTCAAGATCTATCTGCCCTGAAATTTTCAGATGAATCGGACAACCCGTTGTTGGGTTGCTGCCCCTGAATTGGTAATTTTAAGGAAATTTTGCCGTTTTTGGTTATTATCTTGAATATTATTATAGATAGAGATAAACTGTAAACAGTAATAATGTTCAGCAAAGTATGATCTACAAATAAGTCAACTTGACCAAAATGGTCAGTTGACCCCTTAAGGAGTTATTGCCCTTTATAGTAAATTTTTAACCATTTTTCGTAAATTTTTGTAATCTTTTACAAAAATCTTCTCCTCTGAAACTACTAAGACAAATTTAACCAAAATTGTCCACAATCATCATTAGGGTATCTAGTTTAAAAAATGTGTCCATTGACCCTGCCCGCAAACCAAGATGGCAGACATGGCAAAAAAATAATACATAGGGTAAAATGCAGTTTTTGGCTCATATCTCTGAAACCAAAGCATTTAGAGCAAATCTGATGGTATAAAATTGTTCATTAGGTCAAGATCTATCTGCCCTGAAATTTTCAGACCAATCAGGCAACATGTTGTTGGGTTGCTGCCCCTGAATTGGTAATTTTAAGAAAATTTTGCAGCTTTTGGTTATTATCTTGAATATTATTATAGATAGAGATAAACTGTAAACAGCAATAATGTACAGCAAAGTTAGATCTACAAATAAGTCAACATGACCAAAATTGTCAATTGACCCCTTAAGGAGTTATTGCCCTTTATATTCAATTTTTTACAATTTTCATAAATTTTGTAAAATTTTGTAAATTTTTACAAAATATTTTCCACTGTAACTACTGGGCCAAGTTCATTATAGATAGAGATAATAGTAAGGAGCAAGAATGTTCAGTAAAGTAAGATCTACAAACACATCACCATCACCAAAACACAATTTTGTCATGAATCCATCTGTGTCCATTGTTTAATATGCACATAGACCAAGGTGAGCGACACAGGCTCTTTAGAGCCTCTAGTTTTACTAGATATTTAGTATTGTATATTTACAGGTTGCACTATAATAAACCATTCATTCATTCATTTAGTTGGGTAGATAGGGTAACTGGAACCACACATATATTTTTATTTGGCCCAAGAGGAAAAAAATAATACTGTTACTATAAATGAATATATAGAAAACATAAACTGAAACAACTGTTATCATGGTTATAGTTTAATTGTATTCTCAGGTATGAATTGAACAATATAAACATAAATATCATAAAGGAAATAGAGCATCCATCGCCGCATCACGACAAATGACATTGAAAAAAATACAGTTTATTTTTTTACGCCAAATGTGATGCTATCCAAAATTTCTGGGGAGAACACTGATGACTAAATATTGAAAATTTCAAAAATAGACATGATAGACAAAGGATATTTTGAGTGGGGCATGTTTTCAAGTGGATGCATATTATTGTTTACATATATAATTTATGTCAATGCAGAGATACATAAATCATCACAGAATAAATCATTTAAAAAGACAGGCAATTAATACTATCATACTGGCAATTAGCACTTTAAGAAAAAGTATATGCTCACATATTTTATGTTGTTGACAAAAGTGTGTCAGAGAGTCAGGACACTACAATTAAATGATACACTTGTCGACTTGATATATAATAATTGCTGATTATTAATTGAAACCATCATTACTACTGTCTTGTTTTTTCAATTGATTGCCCACAGCACTAATAGTGCTTTGATTGTTATAGAATGTGTATTAACCAGAACATTGCATTTTCTTGTTCTTGATGGATCGTTATGTATTCTATTTTCCAGGGATTATATCTGTCACGTTTCAAACATGTTTAAAAATTCAGCCCTGTTTAATTTTTTTCCAGAGTTATGCTTTTTGAAATGTTAATTATGTCCCTTTGAACTGGAAATTTGATGGAAAATAAAATTTTAATCAATCTTAAGTTTACATTTCATGTACATGATGTAGGGTATTTAAGGTAAAATGCAAAAGGAATCACCAAAAACATTGTTGGGTTATTGCCCTTGGACAGATCAATGTGAGATGGTTGGCCATGGGGACATTGGAATGCTGTTCTTTTATTTTATTTTTGAAAAATTATACTATTCAGCTCTTGAATCAGACAGTTCTTTAAATCATTGTAGGAAGCCCAAAACTTTTTTATGGGAATGCTGATCTAGTTCTTTTTCCATGTGATGAAGATTTATTCCGAGATGTCATGGATGTTATGGAAAGTTCCTCTGCAATTATAACAATACCTGAATATTTCTTTGAAAATGGGTATGAAGAAGATGATATTAATGGCCATGAATTTGCGAAAAAAGACATTCCAGAAGTTATGCCAGAAGAAGCCAAAAAATTTGATCAGGTCTTAAAGCAGGCTATTTCAGTCTCGCTCTGTAAGCACAGAAAAATAAAAAACAAAAATCTAACCAAAAACAATATTTCTGCAGTTCCTGTATGTCTCATAACGAAAGAAACTTACTTTGTGGCAGTGTATGATGCTAGTTATGACTATTTAATGAGAACAAATAAAACTTTAAAGCTTTTCGAAGGAAATAATCTTCGATTTGATGCAGTATTGGATTTGTGGCTCTTAATTCACCATAACTTATTTTGTACAACACCACATCAGAAGGTTTTGAGGCAATTCAAAGGGACATGTGATCTGATTCCACAGTTTGGAAGAGACAGATTTGAAAAAATCATTCAAAGTTCCAGATGGCTATATATGCCAGAGCGTATCCATCCATCCAGCTCTGATAATGTTTCAGCCCCTAAAGCTACAGATGTGTAAGTATTTCCATTGTATTACAGTGAGTTAATATATATGTACGAGGGAAAAAAAGATATGGAATGTCATGAAGATAGTAAAATTCAAAAAGAAATAGGTAGCTACTATGGGTATAGTTAGGTTAAATGCTTGTTTTTTTGGAAATATTGATTATATGGAAAATTACATTTTATGCACACTCATGTGTACAATTCTTGCCAGATATTTGTCGAGCCTGCGACTTTTGTCGCAGAAAGCTCGACATAGGGATAGTGATCCGGCGGCGGCGGCGGCGTTAGCTAACTTCTTAAAAGCTTTATATTTTAGAAGGTGGAAGACCTGAATGCTTCATACTTTGTATATGGATGCCTCATGTTACGAAGTTTCCGTCAGTCACATGTCCAATGTCCTTGACCTCATTTTCATGGTTCAATGACTACTTGAAAAAAAAGTTAAGATTTTTTGTAATGTTAAATTCTCTCTTATTATAAGTAATAGGATAACTATATTTGGTATGTGCGTACTTTGCAAGGTCTTCATGCCTGTCAGACAGTTTTCACTTGACCTCGACCTCATTTCATGGATCAGTGAACAAGGTTAAGTTTTGGTGGTCAAGTCCATATCTCAGATACTATAAGCAATAGGTCAAGTATATTTGGTGTATGGAAGGACTGTAAGGTGTACATGTCCAACTGGCAGGTGTCATCTGACCTTGACCTCATTTTCATGGTTCAGTGGTTATAGTTAAGTTTTTGTGTTTTGGTCTGTTTTTCTTATACTGTATGGCAATAGGTCTACTATATTTGGTGTATGGAATGATTGTAAGGTGTACATTTCTAGCTGGCAGGTGTCATCTGACCTTGACCTTATTTTCATGGTTCAGTGGTCAAAGTTAAGTTTTTGAGTTTTGGTCTTTTTTTCTAATACTATATGCAATAGGTCATCCATTTTTGGTGTATGGAAATATTTTATGATCTATATGCAGTCGCGCAGGTTTCATTTGACCTTGACCTCATTTTCACGGTTCATTGATCAGTGTTAAGTTCTTGTGTTTTGGTCTGTTTTTCTTATACTGTATGCAATAGGTCTACTTTATTTGGTGTATGGAATGATTGTAAGGTGTACATGTCTAGTTGGCAGGTGTCATCTGACCTTGACCTCATTTTCATGGTTTGGTGGTTTTACTTAAGTTTTTGTGTTTTAGTCTGTTTTTTTTGTGTGTCCACTCTTGTTTCTAATACTATATGCAATAGGTCAACTATATTTGGTGTATGGAAATATTTTATGATGTACATGTCAGTCTCACTGGTTTTATTTGACCTTGACCTCATTTTCACGGTTCATTTCTCAGTGTTAAGTTTTTGTGTTCTGGTCTGTTTTTCTTCAACTATAAGCAATAAATCAACTATATTTGTTGTATGGAATGATTGTAAGGTGTATGTGTCTGTCTGGCAGGTGTCATCTGACCTTGACCTCATTTTCATGGTTCATTGGTCAATGTTAAGTTTTCATGGTTAAATTTGTTTCTTAGATACTATAAGCAATAGGTCAACTATATTTAATGCCTAAATTGATTGTAAGGTGTACATGTCTGTCTGGCATGGTTCATCTGACCTTGACCTCATTTTCATGGTTCATTGGTCAATGTTAAGTTTTCTTGGTTAAGACTATTTCTTAGAAACTATAAGCAATAGGTCAACTATGTTTGGTTTATTGAATCATTGTAAGGTGTACATGTATTTCTCGTTTGGTTTATCTGACGTTGATCTCATTTTCTTGGATCATGTTAAGTTTATGTGTAACTTGTAGTAAAGCTTTATATTTAGGACTATCAACATAAAATCAATGCTTAGTAAAGAAGGCGAGACATTTCAGCGTGTGCACTCTTGTTATCAAATTGATGTAACATGTGTAAAAGGTCACATACTTTTTAATCCCTTTTGAATTTAATGCATACACCAACAGATTGCAAAACTTGTGTACCTTTTAGCTTTGCAGTCTGATCATGCATACAAAGGTCTTGTCCTCAATGCTCTTCAACTTTGTACTTTATTTGGCCTTTTTAACTTTTTTTGATTCCAGCGTCACTGATGAGTCTTTTGTAGACGAAACGCGCGTCTGGTGAAATACAAAATTTCAATCCTAGTGTCTATGATGAGTTTATTTAGCCCCCTACCGACAAAGTCCATCTGTCTGTCTGTCCATCCGTCAGTCTGGCAAATCAGTGTTCCACACTTTTTTCTTCGTGCTTGAAGATATTGATTTGATATTTGTTATATAGTAATAATATAGTTTTATTATGACCAGTTACACTTCAAGTTTGAATTTTGTTCTGGTCTTATGATTTTTTTTTAGAATAATGGTCCTTGGACTTAGAAACATCATGCAAATATACAGTTTTTTGCCCTTTTTAGCTCACCTGGCCCAAAGGGCCAAGAGAGCTTTTCTCATCATTTGGCGTCCGTCGTTCGTCGTCCTTTAACTTTTACAAAAATCTTCTCCTCTGAAACTACTGGGCCAAAGTTAACCAAACTTGGCCACAATCATCATTGGGGTATGTATTTTTAAAAATGTGTCCGACGACCCGGCCCGCCAACCAAGATGGCTGCCATGGCTAAAAATAGAACATACGGGTAAAATGTAGATTTTGGCTTGTATCTCTGAAACTAAAGCATTTAGAGCAAATCTGACATGGAGTAAAATTGTTCATCAGGTCAAGATCTATCTGCCCTGAAATTTTCAGACAAATCAGACAACCCGTTGTTGTATTGCTGCCCCTGAGTTGGTAATTTTAAGAAAATTTTGCAGTTTTTGGTGATTATCTTCAATATTATTATAGATATAGATAAACTGTAAACAGCAATAATGTACAGCAAAGTAAGATCCACAAATAAGTCAACATGACCAAAATGGTCAATTGACCCCTTAAGGAGTAATTGCCCTTATAGTAAATTTTTAACAATTTTTCATAATTTTTGTAATCTTTTACAAAAATCTTCCACTCTGAAACTACTGGGCCAAATAGAATCAAACTTGGCCACAATCATCATTAGGGTATTTAGTTTAAAAAATGTGTCTGATGATCCAACCCGCCGACCAAAATGGCCGACATGGCTAAAAGTAGAACATAGGGTAAAATGCAATTTATGACTTATATCTCTGAAACTAAAGCATTTAGAGCAAATCTGACAAATGGTAAAAATGTTCTTCAAGTGAAGTTCTATCTGCCCTGATATTTTCAGACGAATCAGACAACCTGTTGTTGGGTTGCAGCCCCTGAATTAGTTATTTTAAGGAAATATTGCAGTTTTTGGAAATTATCTTGAATATTATTATAGATAGAGATAAACTGTAAACAGCAATAATGGTCAGCAAAGTAAGATCTACAAATAAGTTAACATGACCAATATTGTCAATTGGCCCCTTAAGGAGTTATTGCCCTTTATAGTCAATTTTTTACAATTTTCGTAAATTTTTGTAATCTTTTACAAAAATCTTCTCCTCTGAAACTACTGGGCCAAATAGAATCAAACTTAGCCACAATCATCATTAGGGTATTCAGTTTAAAAAATGTGTCCGATGACCCTGTCTGCCAACAAAGATGGCCGACATGGCAAAAAATAGAACATATGGGCACTACAAACTGCTCAGAGTCTGAAAAGACCAGTTTTTGTGCTCGACCAGTAAAGTCGAGCACAGATTTTACCCGACTTGTCTGGACAGTACTTAACTGTACTCCACTTTGGTCTCGACTTTACTTAAATAATCTGAAATGGTCTCGACCAAGGCTCAACCTGTCTCGACCAAGACTCGACCTGTCTCGACCAGTCTCGACCTGCATCGACTAGTCTTGACCTTCAATTTTAGTCTCAACTGGTCTGAATCAGCCCATCTAACTAAATTAAATATTGATCTTACAAAATTCCAGGTTATTTGGTAGTTGGTTCATTGCTGGGAAATTAAAGAAGTAAATTAATAGGTAAAAAAAAAGCAAGAATTTTCAGTTTTGACTAAATTCAGATAGTCGTCTTTAATTATTTCTATAACTTTTTCAAATCAACTTGGATTTTCATAAAACTCTACAGCTATCTCAATTATACATTGATCTTACTGAATCCCAGGTCGTTATGTAGTTTGGTGTATTGCTGTCAAATTTAAGAATTTAATTAAGAGGTAAAAAAAGCTAGAATTTTCAGTGGGACTGAATTCAGCTGGTCAACTTTAAATTTGTTTATTATTTTTTCAAATTAACTTGGATTTTCATATAACTATACAGCTATCTCAGTTGTATATTGATCTTACTGAATCCCAGGTCATTATGTAGTTTGGTGTATTGCTGTCCAATTTAAGGATTTAATTAATCTAGGTCAATCAAGCTAGAATTTGCAGTGTCGAACTAAATTCAGATAGTCATCTTTACATTTTTTTATAACTATTTCAAATCAACTTGGATTTTCATCAAACTATACAAATATCTCAATTATATATTGATCTTATAGAATGCCAGGTTGTTTGCCGTACTTTGGTTTATTGCTGTCAAATTTAAGGATTTAATTGATAGGTAATAAAAAAGTTAGAATATTCAGTCGAGTGAATTCAGATAGTCAATTTTAAATTTGTTTATTTCTTTTTTAAATTAAATTGGATTTTCATAAAACTATTCACCTATCTCAGTTGTATATTGATCTTACTGAATTCCAGGTTGTTATGTTGTTTGGCAATTATTGCTGTCATATTTAAGGATTTAATTAATCAAGGTAAAAAAGCTAGAATTTTCAGTTTCAACTAAATTCAGATAGTTATCTTTAAATATTTTTATAACTATTTCAAAGCAACTTGGATTTTCATCAAAATCTACAACTATCTCCATTATATATCTATCTAACAAAATAGCAGGGTATTTGTTAATTTGGTTTATTGCTGTCAAATTAAAATATTTCAGCCTTTTTTTACCTTTTACCTAAGTCCTTAAATTTGACAGCAATACACCAACATACAAAACAACCTGGCATTTTGTAAG